AAAGTTGATACTAGTTGAAGCTGAGTGTTTGGTAAATGGGGATTCATTATACTATTCTGTCTACTTTTGTACATGTTTTAAATTCCCTAAAAAAAAAGTTTTAGAACAATGTTATTGAATTGTCAAGCATCTCATGAAAGCGTGTGTATTAGTTTGAAGGAGTGGAACCGGAGGAGCTGGAATTTGAGAAGAGGAAGATCAGGGAACAGCCTCTGTGGGGAGAGTGCCAGGGAACGTATGAGACAAATAAAAGGGTTGCTGAGCAGCTGCAAGGGCCAAGTTGATATTGGACAGCACGAATTTATATTGGTCTGCTCGGTTCTCCCTGTAGCAGTGTTCTGGGACTTGGGGAGCAGAAACGGAGAAAGGGGACAGTGAAGGCAAGGATCCCAGAAATAGTAACTCTGATCTGGTGTAAAAGTTTTTTGGAAAGGTGTTACATCAGTATGAGATATCACTGATCCACCAAATGCTTTGCTGGTTCCTAGATAGGCTTGTCAAAGGGACTCTGCTAGGCTAGAGTGGCTTGGTGTTATGCTTCTCTTCTAAGACCCCTCTTCTAAGACCTCAGTTGGGTCCTTAGGTTTTGGATATTCTCAAATGGCTCTAGGACAGTTCTCAGCAATGACTGAGTTTTAATCAGTAGCTATGTTACTTCAAGCAAGCTATTTCCTGCCCTGAGTCTTGGTTTCCTCATCTATAAAAATTTGGGATAATAATACCTACCTCACAGAGCAGGTGTGAGGATTAAGTAAAATAATGTGGGTAGAAGTGGTTAGCACAGTGGCATTCTATACATGATGCTTCATTCCTTCAGCAGGTGAATACAATCTCCCTTAATCCTAGAGCTGAGGCAATGGTATGTTAAATATGTTATCACTCTGTGGACTAGCAAAACCTGACTGTCAAGAAAATCCTATTTTCGGGCGCCTGGGTGCTCAGTTGTTTAGCGTCTGCCTTCGGCTCGGGTCATGGTCCCAGGGTCCTGGGATCGAGCCCCGCGTCGGGCTCCTTGCCCAGCGGGAAGCCTGCTTCTCCCTCTCCCACTCCCCCTCCTTGTGTTTCCTCTCTCGCTGTCTCTCTCTCTGTCAAATAAATAAATAAAAATCTTTAAAAAAAAAGAAAATCCTATTTTCTTATTGAAACATTATAAAATTGGATATTGAAGATGTGTCCCTCCTCTCTAAGAGAAAAAAACACCCCAACTTTCCTAATAGTCTGAAGTGAAAGCTTTTGGTGAAGAGAAAGAGGAGTAATAGTAGTACTAACAATAGCAAACACTTATATAGTACTTACTATATATGCCAAACACTGTTCTAAATATGTGTTAGCTATTATTACTGTAATATACAAATCTGGACCTCAAAGGACAGATATGACCTAGAGATAAAAATGTGTGAGTCATCTGCATGTGGGTGGTATTTGAAATCATGGGCATAATTGAAAATGTCTAGAAGAGTTATATATAAGAAGAGAGCAAGACTAGGGCTACGTCCTGAGGAACTTCATCATTTGATGGCCAGGTAGAAAACGAAGAGCTGGCAAAGGAGACTGAAAGGAATGGCCAGAGAAGTAGGAGGACAGCCGAGAGGAGCCGTGGGTCATAGAAGCCAATGTATTGAATGTTATTTCAAGGAAGAAACTATCATGAGTGTCAATTTTTGCTTGTGAGATCAAGTAAGACAAGGACTAAAAAGTACCCATTGGATTTAGTGACTTGATGGCCCAAAGTGACCTTATCACTACAGACTGAGTGGGTTGGAAGTCAAATTAAAGTGTGTTTTGAAGGGAGTAAGAAGGTGGAAATAGAAAATGAATAGTTATTTCAAGAAGTTCACTTATAAAGGAGAGAGAGGAGTTAAGTAGCAGTTGGAAAGGGTTATGTAGTCAAGGGAAATTGTTTTTGTAAAATCGGAGACTTGAGCATGTTTAAATGTCGATGAAAATATCCAATGAGAGGGAAAGGTTGAATAAACAGGAGAGAGAAAGGATAATTAATAGTATAAAGTTCCTGGGAAGGTGTGAGGAAACAGGATACAAAGTACAATGGGAATAAGAAGTGTAAAGGAGGTAAGGAGAGGATTTGTGCTAATGTGAACAGATATGTACATTTGATGGTGGGAAGTAGGGAAGTAAATGAGATAACGCATGCAAAGCACTTAGCATAGTGTCTGGCAGGTTAGTTTGTATGAGAAACAGTAGCTATGGTTATTGTTGTTGTTATTATTATTAATGTTATGCACCTGCTTGAAACTTTCTTACATTTTAGGCTTTGGACTATGTAAAATAAGTACATTACATTATTAATTCTATAAACTTGAAATTTTATAGATCAAGTTTATATACAACAAGGGTTACTTGAACTTTTTGATTCCTCACCTTCATCCTCTCCAGGAAATCTGAGTAGTTGCTGGTCCCCTGATTTTGATAAGATAGAAAAAAGTTGTACATTTAAGATTAGTGCACTTTCTGCACTTTTCTATATGCATTCTACACCTCTAAATTTTTTTAATGTCCATCAAAGCCCCTATTGATGTCAACTCACCTGTAGAAAAATGACATTAAAAGTAGACCGCTGCCAGGGTTTGAAAGGATCTGAAAGGTTCAGGTCAAGGGGAAAACTTATTTGTACTTCAAATCCATATAACGAGAGCAGAGAAATGAGCCAGAAATGCTGAATTTCCTGGAAGTCCAGGAAGCCCCTTTAACTCTGATCAAACTTCTCTGTGAGGTTGAGATGCATTCCCTGGATGCATTCTCCAATATCCCCTAATCTTGCGTCAATCTCCAAATCCTCAGCCATGCTGTCCTGTGACCCCTTACCTTTGCTGCCCACGTCCGTTCTCCCACCTCCATCTTACTTCTAGCTCCCAATGAGACCTTATGTTCCTTGAATCTGAACTGAGAGAAAAGGGTGCTATGAAAAGAATTTGATGGGGTGCCTGGGTGGCTCAGTCATTAAGCGTCTGCCTTCGGCTCGGGTCATGATCCCGGGGTCCTGGGATCGAGCCCTGCGTCGGGCTCCCTGCTCAGCAGAGAGCCTGCTTCTCCCTCTCCCTCTGCCTGCCTCTCTGCCTGCTTGTGCTCTCTCTCTATCTCTGTCAAATAAATAAATAAAATCTTTAAAAAAAAGTACTCAATTGGTAAAGGAAACAAATATGTCCCTTTCACACACATTCTACCAAAACCAACCCATGAAAAAATAGAAAATCTGCAAAGACCTATGAGTAGTAAGAACTTGAAACAGTAAGACTTCCTGACAAAGAAAGGCTCAGGACCAGATGGCTTCACTGGTGAATTCAACCAAATATTTAAAGAAGAATTAACACCAGTCCTTCTCTGACTCTTCCAAAAAATTGAAGAGGAGGAAACACTTCCTAATTCACTCTATGAGGCCAGCATCACTCTGATACCAAATCCAGACAAAGACACCACAAGAAAAGAAAACTACAGGCCAATATCCCTGATGAACATGGATGTAAAAATCCTCAACAAAATACTAGCAAACTTATTTCGACAGCACATTAAAAGGATCATATACCATGTCCAAGTGGGATTTATCCCTGGGATGCAAGGATGGTTCAACATATGCAAATCAATCAATGTGATACACCACATTAACATAATAAAAAATAAAAATCACAAAGTCATGGGGTGCCTGGGTGGCTCAGTCGGTTAAGCGTCTGCCTTCGGTTCAGGTCATGATCCCAGAGTCCTGGGATTGAGCCCTGCATGGGGCTCCCTGTTCAGCAGGGAGTCTGCTTCTCCCTTACCCTCCGCCTCTCCCCCACTCTATTCCCCATCCCCGCTCGTGTTCTCTTTCTCTCTCTCAAACGAACAAATAAAACCTTTAAAAAAATAAAAAAATAAAATGGTAAATTTCATGTTATACATATTTGGCCATTAAAAAATACGAAAATAGGAGATCGAGTTCTCATGAATTCTCCCAGGAGCCACCGCTCTTCCTCTTCCCCTATAGTGGCCTGAGGTGACCTCTGAAAATGGTTCACTATTCACTTGACCCAGAAAACCCTATGAAATCATCCAAATCAAGAGGTTCAAATCTTTGTGTTCACTTTAATAACACACATGAAACTGCCCAGGCCATCAAGGGTATGCATATCTGAAAAGCCACCAAGTATCTGAAAGACATCACTTTACAGAAGCAGGGTGTGCCATTCCCTCACTACAATGGTGGAGTTGGGAGGTGTACCCGGGGCCAAATGGTGGGCTGGACATAGGGTTGGTGGCCCAAGAAGAGTGCTGAGTTTTTACTGCACATGCTTAAAAATGAGAGAGTAATGCTGAACTTAAAGGTTCAGATGTAGATTCTCTGGTCATTGAGCACATCCAGGTGAACAAAGCCCCAAAAACTGCGGCATAGAACGTACAGGGCTCATGGGTGGATTAACCCATACAGGAGCTCTCGCTGCCACATTGAGATGATCCTTACCGAAAAAGAGCAGACTGTTCCTAAACCAGAAGAGGAAGTTACACAGAAGAAACAGGTATCACAGAAGAAACAAGAAACAAAAACTTACGGCCTGGGAGTAAAATTCTGCATAGAATAAATGCAAATAAAATTTTAAAAAATACGAAATAAAAGTAAAGTCGAAAGCCAAAGGAGAAACTCAGAAAAAATATTACAACCCATTTGACAAAGGCCTGATTTTCTTAGTATACAAAAAGCTTCTACAAAGCAATAAGAAAAAGAGAAATAGAAAACTAGGCAGACGACATGAGCAATATACACATATATTCACATACACACAAAGGAAATACATGTAACTTTGAAACATATTAGAAAGAAGCTTAACCTTACTCATGATAAAAAGATCATGTTAAAAATACAATGAGATAACACTCTTTTCCAGTAGAAATGGCAATATCAGAAAGTTTGACAATACATTGTTTTGGCAAGGATGGGGTGAAATAGACACTCTTGTATTTTGTTGTTGGCATTGTAAATTGGTATAACTTTGGGAAGGCGACTTATCAAAAACTTTTAAAGCCTTTTTATTGGTAACAAAACCCAACTCCAATAGGCTTAAACAATAAAGAGGATTTATGGGTTCATACAAATGCAAATTCCAGGGGATGAGAGAACTCTGCAGTTGATTTGATTCCATGGATCAACAATATCACCAAGGACCTAATTTCTTTCTGTCAGATCTGTCTTCCAAAGTGTGAACTTCATCATAGATTTGACTTCCTTCTTGGTAGCAAAAGGGCTGTAGCATTTGAAGGCTTCAAATCAGCCATACCACACTGTCCAAAAGAAGAGACAAAGTTGGCTTCTGTTATCTGTCTCAGACGAGCAAAGAACAAAACCAAAACCAAAACCCTTCTCCCAAATATTTCAACAAACATCATCTAACATTTCATTAACTTGAATTGGGTCAATGGCTCATTCCTGAGCAATCCCCTTGACAGGACAGTGGTTTGCATTCATTGACTATGGCCTGGGTAGTCAGAACCAATCACTAAGGCATGGGGGATGGGCTTACCCTGATTGGGTTAGGAGGGTGGTACACCCCAGCCAGAAGCTGGGGCTGAGATCAATTCCACCCCTTCAAACTTTATGACCATTAAACAATGGGGAAGATGCAGAATGGATTTGGGGCAGGGAATCACATCAGCCACTAACCACTTTGATCCACGAACCATACTTCTAGGAATTTATCCTATAAATATACTGTCAAATGTATACAAATAAGTGTGTTCAAGGAGATTGTAATAACGGGATATTGAAAACAATGAAAATGCCTGGAACTGGTTAAATAAATGATATAACCATAAAAAAGAAAAGGCAGCTATAAATGTATTATGACACAATCTCAAAGATATGTTAAATGAAAAAAGCAGAGTGAATAGCCTGCTGCCATTTGTGAAAAAAAAAAAGAGAGAAGAAATGGATATAGATATATAGATATAGATAGATTTTTAAGGGGAAGGGGGAAAGTAAACTTGTTTTCATCAAAGTATCTGCCAGATAGAGATATCCAAACACATGTGCACACACATACACCCATTTATACTTGCATTTGCATGATATGCACAGAATGTATCTGGAAGATTCATGAGAAACTGACAATAGTGGTAGTCTGGAAAGGGAACCAGGGGAACTAGGGACTAGGAGTAGGGGTAATATATAACTTTCATTGTATATCCTTTCATATTGCTTGAATTTTCTTACCATGTGCATGTATTTTTAGTTAAAAAATATGTATTAACTACATGTTTCTATGTGTTACCTGTCAGATCAGCAAAGATAAAAATATTTGTTAATAGTTGGCAAAGATGTTGGGAAACAGGCCCTCACATATATTGTTATTTAATATAATACATCCTCTTTGAAGGCAATTTGGCATTATTTATTAAAACTAATAATGCACAGGGCACGTGAGTGCCTCAGTCAGTTAAGGGCCCAACTCTTGATTTCGGCTCAGGTCATTTTCTCAGGGTTGTGGGATCAAGCCCCACATCAGGCTCCACGTTCAGTGCGGAGTCTGCTTGTCCCTCTCCCTCTGCTCCTCTCCCCTCTCTCAAATAAATAAATAAATAAAATCTTCAAAAAATTAATAATGCACATAATCTTTCACCTAGCACTCACAACATATCTAAGATTTTATCTCACCGATATACTTACACATATTGGCAAAGATACATGAATAAATATGCAGTGTTTGTAGTAACAAAAGACTGAAAAAAAAACACTTAAATGTCCATCAGTAGATGATTGGTTAACTAAATTATGATATATCCATAAAATGTAAGTTAATTTAAAGAAGGTAGAATTCTACACAACAATGAAAAAGAACTACTGATATATTCAACAACATAGATGAAGCTCACAGAAAATGCTGAATGAAAGAAGTTAGAGGCAAAAAGAGTACATACCCTTTATATGAAATTCAAATATAGGCAAAACTAATCTATGACCATAGAAGTCAGAATGTAGTTAATCTTGGGAGTGGGTAAAAAGAGGGAGCACAAGGAGCCAGCCTTCTGTGGTGCTGGAAATGTTCTATATTTAGACCTGGGGGGAGGTTACATAAATGTATATGCATATAAAAATATATACTTAAGATACATGCATTTTACTAAAATGTAAGTTATACCTCAATACATGAAAAAAAGGAATGAACTGGGGCACCTGGGTGGCTCAGTCGATTAAGCAGCTGCCTTGGGCTTGGGTCATGACCCCAGGGTCCTGGGATCGAGCCCCACATCGAGCTCCCTGCTCGGCGGGAAGCCTGCTTCTCCCTCTACCACCCCCCTGCTTGTGTTCCCTCTCTCAGTGTGTCTCTCTCTGTCAAATAAATAAAATCTTTTAAAAAAAGGAAAAAAGAGAAAGGAATGAGGTAGATTATACAGTGATATGGAATGAATTTCAAGATATATTTTTAAGTGTGTACAGATATATATATCTCCATCCATATACATATATATGGTACACTGAGAGTAAAGTACAGGAAACAATGAATAACCACAACTCTGCTGGGTAAGTTCTGGAGCAGACTTTTGCTCTGAAGTCATCTGATCTCTGGTGGCCTACAGCTTAAGTTTGTTTGCTTGAGAGAGAGTGAGCGGGTGGGAGAGGGAGAGAATCTGAAGCAGAACCACCCCAGCCCCGCCCGGCACTGAGCACAGAGCACGATGCAGCCTGATCCTACCACTGCGAGATCATGACCTGAGCCAAAACCAAGAGCCAGATGCTTAACCAACTGAGCCACCCAAGCACCCCCCTACAGCCTAAGTTTAAAAGGCCCCATGCTTACAGGTGATGTCCAACTGGAGTTCAGGTGAAGAATAGAGAAAACAGTGGAACAGCAGTATTTGAAGAAAAAAATAGCTGAGAATTGGTGAAAGATGCCAATCTCCAAGATTCAGGAATCCCAAACATGAAAAAGAAACAAAGAAAGAAATCCCCACCTAGACACATTGCCGTGAAACTTCAGAACATCAAAGAAAATATCTTAAAAGGAGCAAGAGACTTGTTACCTACTTATAAAAGTATACAACACTACCTATGACATATTCTAGCCCCCCAAAAGAGGAAAAAAATAGAACCAGAATCTAAATCTAATCAAGCCTTAGATCTAATCAATATTCAGGAAATGAACAGGGGAACAACACCACAGGGATGCAATCACTAAAATCCATTCTATAGGAAGCACTACAGGATGAACCACCCAGTTTCTTCAACAAATAAATCCCATGGGAGAATAAAAGGAGGGGGAGAAGGAGGGGGCACCTATAGATTAAGAGATTTAAGAAACATCAACCAATTGCAGGGGCGCCTGGGTGGCTCAGATGGTTAAGCCTCTGCCTTCGGCTCAGGTCACGATCCCAGGGTCCTGGGATCGAGTCCCGCATCGGGCTCCCTGCTCAGCGGGGAGCCTGCTTCTCCCTCTGCCACTGCCTCTCTCTATCTCTCTCTCTGACTCTCATGAATAAATAAAACATTAAAAAAAAAAAAAAAGAAACATCAACCAATTGCAATGTATAGTCCTCATTTGGAGCCTGACAATCCTTGACAACAAACTCAAAATAAACACATAAATGTTTATGTTTAATAAAAGTCCTTATATTTTAGAGATACATACCAAAATGTTTATGGATAAAATGAATTAATACGATGTCTGATATTTGCTTCAGAATAACCTTGGTGTGCAGGTTGGGGAGCAGGTCTTAGGGGAATATAGATGAAACAAGATTGGCCATGAGTTAATAATCACTGAAGCTGGTTGACAGGTACATGGGGATTCAGTATACTATTTTCTTTACTCTTGTATGTTTGAAATTTTCCATAATGAAAGTAGGAAAAAAAAGAGCTAAAAAGAAAAGATAGATTACCTACAAAGAAATGACTGACAGCTGATTTATCAACAACAACAACAACAAACCCACAGGGTTTAGAAGGTGTTTATAGTACAACACTCTTTGTGTACAAAATAACATATTCACATACATATTTTTTCACATATATTCTTATATCTGCATTGATTTATTTCTGGTAGTTCACATAAAAATTGTTAATAGGAATAGCTTCTCAGTAAGGGAATTGGGAAACTGGGGAATAGAGATGGGCATCTCTTCACCTACTCTTTTATACTATTTGAATTTTTTAGCTTGTGTTTGTAGTACCTTAAAAATATTTTCTCAGTAGGCTAGGAACAAGAGAATTTATAACTTGATAGAGTATAGATAACAATGACAACCATCATACTCCATAGCGAAATATTAGTGGCATTCACCTTGAAGTCAGAACAAATCAAGAATACTCACCTGTTTTTACAAATACCACTACTCAACATTCTTCTACAGGTTCTAGTGAAAACATTAAAAGAAGATAAAAGTTATAAATATTGTAAAGGAAGAGTCATAAAATGTCCTTGTTTACATAGGATATATAAGAAAATCAACTGAGAAATAATTAAACAGGAAGAGTTTGTTTGAAATCAATAACTTCTCTATAAAAAATTTCTTTATATTAAAATATCCAATTAGAAAATATAATGGGGAAAAAGATCCCATTCATAGTAATGGAAAAAAATGACAGAATTAAATCCAACAAGGAATGTACAAAAAGGAGTGCCTGTCTGGCTCAGTCAGTAGAGCATCTGACTCTTATCTTAGGGGTTGTAAGTTCAAGCCCCATGTTGGATGTAGAGATTACTTAAAAATAAAATCACACAGAAAAGATATGTATAAAACATTTATATGAATAAAACTATAAAATATTGCTGAAGGCTATATGTAATATTCCTCAATAAGAGGTTTTACAATTGAAAAAAATTTCAAATAACTATAAATTTCCATAACAATCTCATTGGGATTGGGGGGGGTAGGGTGTGAATACCAGACAAGTTGGTTCTGAAGTTTATCTGAAAGAATATACAGAAAAAGCCAAGAAACTTTTAAAAGATAGAAAAAAGAAATAAGGGAAGACTTGCCTACCAGATATAAAATTACTATATAAAGGTGTGATATGCTTCAAGAATAGACAAACAGGGGTGCCTGGCTGGCTCACTTGGTAGAGCATGAGACTCTTGACCTTGGGGTTATGAATTGGAGCCCCATGTTGGGTGTACAGAGTACTTTAAAAAATAAAAAATAAGAAAGAATAGACAAACAAGTGGAACTGAATAGAGACGCAGTTACATGTGGGAATTTATTTTTTAAAGTAATCTCTATACCCAAGTTGGGGCTCGAACTTACGAATTTAGTATGACAAATATAGCATTTCAGAACCCTTCTGAGACACCACTAAAAGTATACTAATATATAAAATATGTACAAACACAAAGGACAAAAAGTTCCAGGTGTTCTCTAGAAGCAGGAAAGCCATTTGAGAAATGGTACCTGAAATAGTAGCTAGGAAGAAATTCTGGCCTAGTGCAAAGGATACAGAGCCACCCAGGGGGTGCCTGGGTGGCTCAGTAAGTTAAGTGTCCAATTCTCAATCTCAGCTCAAGTCTTGATCTCAAGGTTGTGAGTTCAAGCCCCACGTTGGGCTCCACACTGGGCATGGAGCCTACTTAAAAAAACTGAAGAAAAAAAAAAGGATACAGATGAGAAGGGGCAATTTTACCACTAAAACTATGGCAAGGCTCCAGGATCCAAGAAAACAAGAAAATGAGCATGACACATGGGGCTGAAAACTAAGTTAGTTAATTCGTTTAGTTTGTTTGTTTATTTATTTAATATTTTTTAGAGAAGCAGGCTCCCTGCCAAACAGGGAAGCCCAATGCAGGACTCAAACCCAGGACCCCAGGATCATGACCCGAGCCAAAGGCAGACACTCAACCAACTGAGCCACCCAGGTGCCCCTGAAAACTAAGTTTAATTGAAAGTCTGTATATGAATATTTAGTAAAAAAGAAAGATGCTCACCCTTTGTTTTTTACTTTTATTTTCTTAAAAGATTTTATTTGACAGAGAGAGACAGCGAGAGAGGGAACACAAGCAGGGAGTGGGAGAGGGAGAAGCAGGCTCCCTGCTGAGCAGGGAGCCCCAGGGGGGGCTCAATCCCAGGACCCTGGGATCATGACCTGAGCCGAAGGCAGACGCTTAATGACTAAGCCACCTAGGCGCCCCTCACCCTTTGTTTTTTTAAAAGATTTTATTTATTTGAGAGAGATTGCAAGTGGGGGATGGGAAGAGGGAGAGAGAATCTCAAGTAGACTCCCTGCTGAGCACGGAGCTCCACTTGGGGCTTGATCCCAGGACCCTGAGATCGTGACTTGAGCCGAAATCAAGAGTTGGATGCTTAACCAACTGAGCCACCCAGCTGCCCCTGACCCTTTCTTGTAATCAGAGGAAATGCAAAATAAAAATGAGATACCATCATTTGCACATCTGGTTGATAAATATTTTTTAATTGATAACAAAGTATTGATGAGGTTATTGGGGAAACTGGTACCTCATACATTGCTGGATGGCCATGTAAATTGGAATAGTTTTTGTGGAGGGAAATTGAATAGTACCTATTAACATATTTTACTTCTTTAAAAGATTTTATTTATTTATTTGAGAGAGAGAGAACACAAGCAAGGCGAGCAGCAGAGGGAGCAGGAGAGGGAGCAGGAGAAGCAGGCTCCCCACTGAGCAAGGAGTCTGATGTGGGGCTCGATCCCAGGACCCCGGGATCATGACCTGAGCTGAAGGCAGAAGCTTAACCCACTGAGCCACCCAGGTGCTCCTCTATTAACATTTAAAAAAATTTATTTATTTATTTATTTATTTATTTATTTATTT